CTGTTACCCATCCGGGATTTTTATCCAAGTAAAGAAAATAAACAAGTGTAAGTACATTCCGTACTTAGCAAGCTAACATGGGGTTATGAAGCTCAAAAGGTTAGACTCTGGTTAACTGCAGTTAGCATTTTTAATAGGTAAAGCTTTTATTCTCAAGTATTATCAAGTTATGCTTAAGCTCCCATTTAATTCCCATAAGAACATATATCGGGGTCAAGTGTACCATATATCATCATTGAACAACTTTAAATTATCATCAACAAGTAACCAGCTATTCTGTGAGTTTTCCGGCCAGCTCGAATCAGTGAGCACGGATGTTATAATGATTTGTTACCCTCTCAGAGAGGTGGTGCACATTCACCATGAGTCGTGATCCCCATATGCCCGGGTTAATTACTCCCATGTCACTTCCAAGGTGAGCGGGCAGGGGTACACTATGAAGCCATTTCATAGGTTTCCCTAACAAGTTAGGGCCGCTAGGTTTCCTTGGCGTGCAGATGTAGGAACCCCCTTTCCTATGGCACATATCCATCAAGCGGCTATACACATAGGAACAGAGGCAGCCCTATACCCAACGTGGCAAGCCCCATTTGCGCTAAAAAGGTAACCTCTAACTAGCTAGAAAAGGTCCTATTACTGAGCTAAAGTCAGAGCCATATGACTCTCCCGGTTGCACTGTCAGTCCCAGCTTTTGCCGACAGATAAGTCCTTATGGAGGGCCGGAGCAACATGAACAAAGGTCATTTGCACTTTCGCCCCTATGGAACAGCTTATTACAAATCATGTTACTCACTTTGTTCCATAGTATCATTCATCAACAGTATATCAAGTTCAGTTAGAGCACTAGCAATCTACCCATATGTATTTAACCCATAGGAGACAAGGAACAGGATAAACAATCACTAGGATGTCCTTACGGGTATCAAGATTAGACACATGCAAATGAGTAATTGATTAAAGTGAATTAGGACATCAAGGAAGGCCCATGTTATACTTGCCTTGGTTCACAAACTCGTGCTGGTCCTCGCTTGGTCGTCAAGAGTTCTTGGTCTCCAACGCTTTTCCACACCGGGTTCTAACGCGACCAACACGGCAACATACAACATTCCAAAAGCATTCATGCAAAGCAAACATTTCTATCATTAGAACAGTACACCAACATTATTGAAAACAAGATAAAATATTTGTAGACATATTCTACGCCTCGCTACGATCACGCCAACGCCAAGTTCACGAAAAAACTGGAGCTAAAATGCGAATGTTATGATTTAAACGGGTTTTCCTATAGCCATATATTTAATTAAATCTAATCATGAAATTAAAAGTTCCAAACTTGACTAACAGTAGTTCTAACATGTAGCTTATGAAATTACGAAGCTAACGCGATTTGAATGGATCAATTCGAGCTAAAACGACAATTTTATAAGCGAAAACAGTTCAAATGGCATTTCAGTAATACTCGAAAGCGTACTTTTGACTTAAGCCGTGGAGTTTACACTTTCTAATCGAGATTATGCGCATTCGAGGAAATACGTTTTGGCTGCGGGTTAAGACTTAGAAAAGTCCAGGGGCTCTTATGCAAAATCACCCGCGAAGGGTATCTTCTATTCTCGCCGCTGATCTCGCGATGGACGGCTAGGATCGGCTGGGGGAACGGCCGTGGAATAGGTCATCGCGGCGAGGCGCCATGGTTTCACGGCGGGCAATGAGGACCTCCTGGTCACATGATTAGGGGCCTCACGGTTCACCAAATTGACCACCGAGGGCACCGGTGAGCGCGGGGGAAGAAGGGGGTCGCGGCCATGCCGCTATGTGGCGGGCTTAAACGGGCTAGCGCGGGTGGTCGCCATGGTCGGCGACCATGGCCCGCGGAGCTCGTGGCCAAGGCACGGGAAGCCAACAAAAACGAGAAAAAGGGATACCGGGAGATAGAGGGGAGGACGGCGAAGCTCACCAAGGGGAAAAAGGAGACGGAGGCGGCTCGGAGAAGGCGGCGACGCGGACGGTAAGGACGGTGGCCGGCGGAGCTCTTCCGTGCAGCAGTTGCGACCTCCGTGGCGTGAGCGCGAGTGAGAAAACGGAGTGGGGAGAGCAGGGAGCGCCGCGGGGGGGCTCGCTCCTTTAAATCGAGGCCGAGGAGCGAGGGGGACGCCCCACGACGCTGTCGTGGCAGGCCGATTCTGTGCAGGCCACGGAGTGGGCGGTTCCGAGCTGCTGGACGAGGACGGCACCGACAAAGGTACGAGCGGTCAGCGATTGCGGGGAAGGGAGCGGCGGCGGTTGCGGCCAGGCCGTTAATTTGGCTTAAGCAAGCAAATACATGAGGGTCAAGTGGTCATGTACTGGGTCATGGGGAAAAGCTGGGCTAGCGCGGTGAGGAAAGGAAGCCCGTGGGCCGAAATTCAAGAAGGGAGGGAGAAAATGATTCTTTTCTTTTTCTTTTTCTACACTTTTCCAAATCTATTTTTAAATTCAAATTTCAATTCTTTTTGAAATCTTTAATAAATTCCAAACATTCATCAAATGATATGCAGCAGCATGTATGCATCACTTGTAGCTAATATTATATTTGATTTTAGTTTTATAAAATTATTATTTTCCTACATTTGTATGCACACATAATTGCGTAAATAAATCAATTTAGCTATTTAAAAGAGTGCAAATTTTAGGACGTTACACAGATCGAGTGCAAGCACCGGAAGGAACGCTGCTGAAGTCAAAATCCAAGCACCGCACGAATAGTAGCAGATTCTGGTAATAAGACCGAATAGAAGGGGAACCGCAGCTTGAACGAACGAAAATAAATAACCTAAACTGATCAACGTGAATCCAATCAAGCTGAGATTTCAGGCTGGGCCTCACAGCATCATGCACAATCCATCCAATCCAACACAGACTCGAAAAGATTGAGATATTTTTTGAGGAATGAGGGGCCTGGCCCCTACAGTGCTTTATTAAACCACTACTCAAGTTAAACACGTCATATGATTACAATCCTAAAACACATCAGCATGATTACAAAAATGTTGAATAACAATGATATCGACATCATTGTCTTACAGACATGATTTTCTTAAATTTCAGAATAGGCTTGTCCTAGCATATCACCCATATCCAGACTTAACCTTCCGCAGACAAGTGCAATTGATCGTCACTGAGCATCCATCCGATTGCATCATCAACAATGACGTTAGGAAGCTTGATATTTCTCTAAGCTTCCTTGTGGTGTGATTCCCTCTCTCCTGATGTAGACCAACATGAAATTAACAAGTGCCATATTGTTATTAGCTAGCACGTACTGTAATCTGTTCCTTCAACGAAAACAATTATTGTTTTACAGAAGTTCATCAAGAACCACAGGATGTAATTTCCGGAATTCCAAGGAAACCATACCCACACACACACACACACACCATACAATAGTCCAAACTTGATCTACTGAAATTTGTGATAACTGCACTGAAATGCATTGAAACATCAAAACCTCACATACCTAATCATGACCAACCATACAGTCCAGCCGCAATCCAATCCGTACAGTGCCAATATCGTTATCGGCAGTTGCCTCTAGCCAATCTGCTGCTTCACTATTTTGTTCATCTGCCCAACAAAGGTACGTGCCTCTAGTGGCCTCCATTTGTATAGGTATATATAGAATAGGATAGGATAGGATACTGCTTTAAATATATATAAAACCACTAATCATGAAATGAGAAGTCTTTCCTCTCCCCCACATTCTCTCTCTCTATGTCAATTTTAATTTTTTCTTCGATTTAAGGACCATTGATTTTCATCCATTTAATAGTTTGATCTATTTAGAATTTCTCTTGGTGTTCGATTGCCTTTGCAATTAACTTCTTGGTTCATCATCAAAACCAAGATTTTCTTTCATCCTTTAAAATTTTCTTCTTTAGTGATTCTTGAGGTGTTTTGATAATTACATTTAAGAATTTTTATAGGTACTTAGTGTCATGCATAGTTAATTTGTATTATTTTCTACGCTTTTTAATTTTAATATGTTTTAAGGGCATGTGTGATTCGAGGGCTAACAGTTATACCCTATTTTTTATGCCAAATCAAAGAGCTAAATGTGGGCTGATTTATGGGTTAATAAGAGCTAATGGGGACTAATTTGTGGTTATAGTCTATTAGCCTTTATTAGTCCATATTTAATTTTTAGCCTTAGGATCCAAACAGGCTCTAAATTTAAATTAAACTATGTAAATACCCTTTTACTTAAGAGAAATGTTTCTTTGACTAGCTAATTACTTTTGACAAACATTGGGATTGGGCATTAAAAAGACATTGAGATAGCGTATAATCAACACAATGTTGTTTGTTTATCTACTTATAGGTTAGTTTGGTAGAGCTCTTCCTACTTTAAATTTTCTTGAAAGCTAATTCTCTGTGAAAAAGTGATTCTCTCACTCAAATTGATTTCCTATAATTCTCTAGGATAAACTCTGTGCATATAGTGATTATGTGCGTGATCTGAATCAGGATAAGCTATTTTTCAGCTCTCAGCTCCTAGTTCATTTTAGAGAATCACCTCATAGAACCAGCAAAGAATTACTTCTGAGTAAAAATCTGTTTGATAGACCTTCTACTCGAATCAACCTACAAGCTACTCTTGGAGCTGTACCAAACTGGCCCTCTATACCTGAATCTACATGTCCCCACTGCTTCTGTAAATCGAAATCAAGGGTGGGATATCTTCAGACTGATCTTTTTCTTAACAACCACATGATTGGTCTATCGTCACTTATATTAGGTATAGACTAGCTTGTAGAAGACTAGTGCATGAGATATTTGAAGATATTTACGATAACTGTAACACATTGGAAGTCATCTTTCCCTGATCCGTAAAAAGGGAAAAACAGACAATACACAGCATCAATCTCTGCTCAGAAACCCTATAAAAGCTAGTGGTTAGTGGGTTACAAATACAAATATAGCAGATGCGCCACCAACAACACAATTCACTTTATCTCATCTCAACAATGGCAATGTTCTTACTCCTCTCTGGAATTATTGTCCTTCATCTCCTACTGCTGGTAACCACCTCCAAGAATCGCAAGCCATACTGCAATCGAAACTCGCTCCCTCCTTCACCATGGCCATGTCTCCCGCCATATAGGCAATCTCTTCGCCACCCTCCCACTATCACTTCCCTCACCGAGGCTCTTCGCCGCCTCCACGCTGCTCATGGACCGGTCGCTCTCCTCTGGTCGGGCAAAGAAGCCAAAGCAATATTCATCTCCTCGCCATGATCTCGCACCACCACGCCTTGTGCACATGGGCACCACCTTCACAAGACCGTCTCGACATCATGGTACACCGGACTTAACAGCCATATGGCGTGAACAGCGCCACCCACGGCAGTCAGCCGGGCCTCCTCCGCCGCAACCTCACTCGCACCTCGGGGCAACGCATGTCAAGGATGTGCTCCGGCCGTCCGGCGATAGGCTTGTCAAGGTCCTCGAGTCGGCGGCGAAGAGGGGGAGGACGACGCTGTCGTTACCCCATTGAGACGTTCCAGCATGCCGTTTTTGGCTTCTTCGCCATTTGCTTCGCCCGAAGGGTCGAGGAAGACATGCTCTGGACGTCTCATGAGACATGCATGTTAGGTTGATCTCCACCAATTTGGGCCAATGGCTAATTGGGTCCTTGACTCAGCATACGATCGGGGCGCCAAACCGCTCCCGGTTGGTGGGCCCCATCATGCCGCTATGTAAAGGAGGTCGGGTCAGGGCTCGAGATACGAGGTTCACCGCACCTTGACCCCTCTCACTAAGTTTCCTAGCCCTAGTCCGTTATAGAGGGCACGCTGTGAGCGACGGGAAGCACCACCGCCTTCACCGCCGTCACCAGACCGGGCCCGCACTGCTGCTACTTCGTCGCCGACACCATGGCCACGACTGGAGACTCGAGATGAGGTACATCATCATCAAGTTCTATATCTAAGTTAAGTTTACCCACTGATCTGCACCTAGAGGTCCTGCAATCTCTAATAATGGTATCGGGAGCCAAGGTTTTCTTCTAGTGTTGAGATCCAGTTTGGGGTAGATTTAGAACGAGAAAGGAAAGGAAGGGGATTCTCCTACTAGGGAACCACACACACCATTACCACCGCCGGCCGTCGCCTCGACGCCGCGCGGGAAGCCACCCTGAGCCGCCGTGGGCGCGAGGAGCAACCGCCAACCCTAACCCTAATCCTAACCCTAGAAGGATGGATGGAGAAGGGAGGGACCTACCCAGCCGTCATTGCCACCACCACCATCATGGGGAAGAGACCCACGACGCTGGGTCATCGGCCACAAGGCTGCTCAGGCGCCAACACGAGGCCACTGACGGGCGGGCGCGCCACCCCCACTGGGAGCGCCTGGCGCTCTGGCGAGGGGGGCCATGACAGCCCCGCCTCCTCCGATCGCCTTGTCTGGCGCTTGGACGCCACGCCATGGTGAGAGAGAAGAGAAGGGGAGAGAAAGAACCGAATCTTCTACCCTACTAATTCACCACTTTTTTCTTTGCTAAATCCACACCAAAAACGTCCCCTGCTGAGATGCCCCCCATCCATCCACCCACAAAATTATACCCAGAAAAACAACATCTTTAAAACGAACTGTCCAGATTGCTTCTAATTTCTTCTCTCTCCTTACTCACCCACATCCAACGGTCCAGATTGAGTGTGTCAACCTCCTCATCCTTCCGCGCGTAGCGAACCATCCGTGCGACTTCGTCCCTACGCTCGCGCTCTGGGTTCGATTCCCACCTCGACCTTGTTTTTCCCTTTTTCCGAAAAAAACGAAAGCTCAATGCGAGACGGGTCAGGAGACGGCGGCAGCGCCTCCACGCGCAGAAACGCCCGTGCCTAGGGTTTGGGCGAAGGGCACAGCGGCTGCACATCCTGGCGGCCAGTGCGGCAACCAGATCGCCGCCAAGTTCTCGGAGGTGATTTGCGAGGCTGCGCCGCCGACCCCAACCTCTTCCTCCTCGCCGGTTCCCTGTCTCGCACTCCGCCTCGGCCTGCCGGGCTCCAAGTCCTCCGACCACAACAGGGACTACTGCGAGGACATCGCAGCCACGCTCTCCCTCAGCCCGCTGCCAGCTGCCGCATCCGCTGGCGTCTCCGCCAAGCGCGCCTTCCCAGACCCCGCCCAGCGCCCCGGCGCTGTCAAGGCTAGCGACGACAAGCAAGCTTCCCCCCGCCACGCCGCCGGCCGCCAAGTAAGACCCCGCTTCGATTCGTCGCAGGCGTTACTGTTTTGGCCTCGAACTGGACGCCCGGCGGGCTGACCGATGATGTTCTGTCGATCTATGCAGAGCGCAGTTGGTGGGATGGCCCCCCATGTTGAGCTACCGGAAGAACACCCTCGCCGCGAGCGCCTCCAAGAGCAAGGTGCCGGCGTAGGAGGCCGTGTCCAGAGGCGGGCCCATGTATGTGAAGGTGAGCATGGATGGCGCGCCCTACCTCAGGAAGGTGGACATCAAGATGTACTCCAGCTACAAGGACCTCTCCATGGCGCTTGAGAAGATGTTCAGCTGCTTCATCACCGGTGAGTGGTGTTCGGTTCTATGCTTCTGTTTGATGCATTCCCCTCTTGTAATTACACAAGTACTGCGCCGTTCACTGAATAGTTTTTGCATAGTATGTCTTTTATTTTCACAAGGATATTTACTTAGCCTGTGATTTTAACGGTCAAAGTGGTCTGCATAAATCATAGAGGAAAGACAGGCTGACTAATGGCTCAAAGGTGGATGCCCTCAAAGACCAGGATTATGTCCTTACATATGACGATAAGGATGCAGACTGGATGCTTGTCAGTGATCTTTTAGAGGAGCATAGAGGTAAGGAAATGAGAGGTTCATGCCTTTGTTTGGTAAGCTAAATCCTGTAATGTGCAGGATTATGCTACCCTGCACTTTGCAGGGTTAGTTGTGGGCATTAGCATAGGGGGTGCTTCAAAGATAGATAGTAAGTGTTTCACTGAAAGTATATGGATTAATTGGCTGTGGTCTCTGGATAATTTGACCACAGGATTTGCTGTTTGTATATCGTCTAATATAATTTTGTCATTTATTGCTGTAGTTGATTCCTAACGGAGTAGTAATTTTGATTACATGGGGATATTGTTGTAGGTTTGTATAAATATTAATCACTACTGATGTTGCTGTATGTCTTTAGCGTTATCCTGGATGTATGAGCAATACATAATCTTGAGCAAGTACACTGACTTTTACCTTGATCCAGTTTGGCCTCCGTTTGTATTATATTGCAAGCACAGGCATATAAATATAACTACAATGGATATGAGCCATTGTAGTGAGTGGCTTTTCCTTTAGCAGTGAAACCTTCTCACCTCCCTCCCCCCCTCCCCAAGAGTTTTACCATTGAATTAATGCAGCAGTTTATGTTCAGTTTCCTGAAGTACAAGGTTGTGCCTTTAACCTCTATATATTATCTGTTACAAGGTTGCATCATTTATTATTTTCCCTGTGTTACGACAATGACATCAAGCTTAGGGATGATCTCATTGCAATGCCAATTTAAAAGAGCTCCTGATCAAGTATGTTTGCAGCTCACTGAGGTAACTTGTTTCCTTTTTAATAAAAATTTTATCACTACATTGTCAGATCTATTTCAGAACTGTGTCTATCATCTAACCAGCAACACATGCCTTCAGATGGTTGTGTAGTTACTATTGCACTTGCATGGCCGGGTGCAGCATGAATAAAATTCAGAAAAATTATACTGCACTTGGTCTATTGCGAGCTCTTTGATTCACCTTGGCAAACTAATATACATCCCATAGGTAAAGTGCAATGCATTTTCATCTTAACCGTGCAGCAGTTTCTGTCATATCTTTTTTTCTGTCATCTTAACTATGCATGTTAACAACCAGGCCGCGGTGACGCTCAGAGCGGAGGAGGCTGCCGAGGCCACGCAAGAATGAGCTGGACTAGCTCCAGTCGAAGATCTCGGCCTTAGTTCAGTACACTCTTATCACAGAGAATGCCAGAAGCTTGTCACAGTGAATCCACGGGGCACTTGATTTAATTTCTGGGTGATTTGGCTTGGGCCGTTCATGGCTAGGTTAATTTGTATTGTTTCACTAAACTGACGGGTTAAGAAAATAAAGCTTTTAGTTGATGTAGCATCAGCCAAAGAAAGAAAAACATATTGGCTCAGAAAAGGATACTTTTTTTGTTTGCCAAATTGAGTGATGTCGTTCATAAAGAAACGAGCTTAGATAATTGCTACATCAAACACATGGTTGGTGCTAAGAGAGTGGAAGGTATAAGAAAATTATATTATGCTGATAGTGGATCTTGATTAAACACCACGGTAAACAAAAAAACATTAGAGTTTATAATTAAGAATCTCAGTCAAAGCTAAAAAACTTGAGACATTGTCTATATTTTGTTAAGAAATGAGGCACTGACAGATTTACAATATGCAATGTTTCATGATGATTGTATTTGCTAAATTAATGGCTTGTTGCTCCTGTACTTTCATCACAAAAAATGTATGGAGTATAATTAATAACATTGACAACTTTGCTGGCATGAATTGGTGCAAATTCATTGTTGACCAACTATGACATTATGCAAACAAGTGGAAGGAACCAGGTTGGAGCAAAAAGACAGTGTATGGTTGCACAATTGTGATTTTGGATATAACATAAGGTGCACATCAGTTTGTTTTATTTCCACCCAGCAGCTGATCAATGCGGTATGTTCTTCCCATCCCTGCTTGATTTCTTAAATATTAAATTTTGTTCTTGTTGGTCCTGAACAAATTATAAGAGTTGGGATGACAAATAATAGCTCATATATTGGTCACTGACAGCAACCAGAAGAAATATTGCCATTGATGGGTTAAGTTGCAGATGGTATATTGGTCATCTCATGCTCTCCAGCTGCAAAGAAGATTTTTGTAGAAAGGTGCTTCGCACACACCTTGCTGAACCTTTGCCACGGCGATCACTGCCACCCGGACATGCTTATTTAGGCCTCTGTATGTAGGGTAGATAAGATGATTCCCAGAAAATATACTTATTGTAGTTCTAACTCTTTCAGTGTGTGCTGTGAAGTTATCAATGTAGTGTTTATATATCTAACTCTACGTATCGTTGTTTTTTAGTGAATCTTAGACACACCACATCTATACTATGTTACCGATGCATATATTATCTTTTGAATATTTGATTTGTACTACCGAAAATCGCCGTAGCGTTAGCATGGGCAATATACTAGTGAATAGTAAACGCAGAGTTTTTGTTCTATTATTTTTAGATGCAAATTTTTGATGTTTTTATCTAGTTTAAATCTCCGTCAAAATTTGAACCGGGATAATTTTTCAGAGAGTAGATGAATACAGTAAAATACTTCTGAAAAGTAGATAAATTATTTTTTTTATGTTTTCGCTGCAAAGTTTAATGTTGATTATCTTTTAATTAAATTCGAACCAACGGGAGAATTTAATTTGAAGAGCTGTTGTATTTAGTAAATTATGACTATATTTGTCCTCTAATTAAATTGGAACCAACAGAAAATTTTAAATTAGAGGAGTAGTCCGATTTGTTTATGTTAAATTATGGTATTGTTATTTTCTGACCAACGTTGATGATAACAATATTATAATGAGTTTAAGTTTGAAGTTTAAATCTCTGATAAATTTTACACTAATGTGGTCAATTTTTCAGAGAGTAGATAAGAGCCAAAGAAATGCTTCTGAACTAATAGAATATATCTCATGTTTCCGCTGCAATGATGTTGATTATCTTCTAATTAAATTCGAACAAATAGGAGAATTTAATTTTGAAGAGTAGTTATATGTCTTTAAGTTAATTTATGAGTTTTATGCATTAATTCTATTTTTTGCCCAACGGTGATATAAAATTAATGTAGAAGCACCTCGTATGTTTTAACCGTCGAGATCACTTGGCTGCAAGTCAATAGGGCTGTAATGCTGGGGTATGTGAATGAATAGGCTTGAGTAAAGCCGGTTCAAGACTGTTTTTGTTAGTTTATTAATTTTATGATTAAATTGGAATCAACGGGAAGATTTAATTAGCAAATAAAGAATAAGTGGATGTTTTAGTCGTCATAACTAAGTTTTCATTACAGTAAACTGTGTATAGATAGTATTTATGCTAGTCAATCCTACATGGCGGGAAAAGTTTTATGATGAATCATATGTTTTTGTATCCCGCATAGCGAGAGAAGTTTGGGTCGTTCTTATGCTATCCTAATATTAACTATGGCACAAATAGAAATGCACTGTCATAGTCAATACTAATCAAAAGACAAGGAAAAGATGCAAGCGTGACTTGCAAAAGTACAGTTAATAAAAGACTTCGTTGAGTTCTTGAAGTGGAATGAGGAAAGTGTACTCCTATACGAATCAAGAAGTAGCTTTGTTTGCATGACACAATCATATGAATGAAGTAAGTAATAAGTGTCTCCTCGGTTACAGGTTTTCTGAATAGTTTTCGAAATTATGGTAGTATAGTTTATGCCATATTTCGAGGGGGAGAATAGTAAGATCAATTAAGAAAGATACCCTTCATTAAGAGTGAGATAAAGATTAATTAATATGAATATGACCGTCGGAGTAAGAGTGAGATAAAGATCAATTAAGATAAATGTGACCGTCGGAGGAGTACAACGGTCATAATAACGATACCCCTAAGCAGAGAAACAACTAAATTCCTGGACTCTTTACAGTTCCGATAGGAAGATAACGTAGTCAGCTAGAATTCAGACTGGACGAGCCTTAAAGATGTTAAGATGGTGCTTAAAGCGCCATATGAGGTTTAACAAATTAAATCCAAATAAGAGATTTGAAGATACACTATCTTTATAGAAGATGGGATGATCTAGGGGAGCATGGTATGTAGCGACCTATGACTTGAAGAGAAGTGGGACTATGTGCCCACTCTAGTGATTCAAGAGCAACAAATTTCTCAATACCTGTTGATGTTGTATGACTTATATAACACTTGTTGTTAGCTCTTCGAAGAAGATAAATAATATAAACAAGGATCTTGTAATATATGAGCCTGTAGAATTAATTGCCTCTTGGCAATGAAGAGCAACAACAGCCCCATATAAGAGTGCCAGTAGCTGAGGCCCCAGAAGATCTCAAAGAATTAGTAAACCAGTTTTCTGATGACTATGAAGTCTATGTTAGTGAAGAAGTTCAAATGGAGGGTGATCCCACCTAATTTGAAGAAGCCATGAGAAGCGTTTACTCATCTAAATGGCAAGAAGCTATGGAAGCTGAAATGAATTCAATGAATACCAACGATGCTTGGGACTTCGAAGAAATTCCTAATGAAGCCAAAATAGTAGGCTGTAAATAGGTCTACAAGACAAAATATGACTCCAAAGGGAATGTAGAAATATATAAAGTATGACTTGTAGCAAAAGGCTTTACGCAAAGAGAATGAATAGATTACAATGAGAGCTTTCTCTCCAGTCTCATGCAAGGATTCTTTTAGAATCATAATGGTGTTATTGGTACATTATGATTTAGAGTTACATTAGATGGATGTAAAGATAGCATTCCTCAATGGGGATTTATATGAAACCGTTTACATGGCACAACCCAAATGTTTTGTCGTGGAAAAAAAGAACGTATGGGATGCCGCCTATAGAAATCTATTTATGGGTTAAAACAAGTCTCTAGACAGTAGTATTTGAAGTTGATGAAACAATAAGAAAGTTTGGGTTTTAAAGAAAATGAGAAGGACAATAGCGTTTATGCGAAGTTCAAGAATGGAAAATTCATTTTCCACATCCTATGTATAGATGACATCCTACTCACTAGTAGTGATGTTAATTTGCCATTGGAGAAGAAGAAGTTCTTGTCCTCAAGTTTCAATATGAATGATCTTGGTGAAGCCTCATTGGTTCTAGGAATTGAAATTCACCGAGATAGATGAAAAGGGGTATTAGGACTATTGCAAAGGCATACTTCGAAAATATTCTAAAGAAATAAAGTATGCATGCGAGTAAACCTACGCCTGCTCCGATAGTCAAGGGTAATAGATTTGGGAACTTTCAGTGTTCCAGGAACCGATATGAGATCGATCAAATTAACATGGTTCCATATGTCTCAGCTATTGGAAGCTTGATGAGTGTACAAGTACAAGTAAGAACTTACCCTGATGTAGTTTATGTATCTGGGATATTTTGCTAGAAGTCCAGTTCAGATATAGATCACTGGAATAGAGTTAAGAATGTCTTGCAATTTTGCAAAGTATCGTAGGCCTCATGCTAAGTAAGAAGGAACAAGTACTCTCAAATAGTTATGGGTACAAATGTTAATTTTTGGCGAGGTATGTAGTGAAATCCACAGTAGTTGTTAACACTCACAGTTGTTGTATTATTGTGGAAAAGCTCCAAAGAAACAGTTGTGGTGTCATCAATGATACATACCATAGTATAGCTTGTCATGAGGCTTCAGGAACAGGCAAAAGGTTGCTAAGGGGATATGTACCCAGATTTAACAATGGTAGACAACAGCAATAACCATTTAAAGTAGTTAACTCCTAAGACAACAGGTCAAGTGTGCTGCCAAACACATTGACATTAAGTTATATGTTGTAAAGGAGAAAATCCAGAATCATTTTGAAAGCATTGATCATATGAGTACCAAGCAAGTACTTGTAGATCCGCTTACCAGAGGCTAACAACCCAGTGCGTTCAGAGAACACACAGTCGACATGGGTTTACTGGAAAACCTATGATTTCTGGATACTGGGGGCCTAGTTGAGAATCTGTTTCAAAATAGAGAGGTGCATTGTAGCTGTTAAATCTAATGGCAACTGACCGTGATGATGAGGCACGCTCTATGCACTGATCTGTGCTGAAATAGGAAAAAGATAAAGTAAGTTAAGTTTAAGACATAAGGTGAGATCAAGGAGGAGAATGTTAGGTTGTTCTC